ACAAGACAATACTTCATTTTGTATTACTTAAAAGATATATTCACCATTAAAAGTATAGTTTATCGTAAGAAATCGTTTGTGGCAGCACTTATTTGTATCATAAAAATGGGTAAGAGTTAATATTCATTTTCATCGAATCATTCATAACTAGTTTTCCTATTGAACCTAATATGTACAATCTTCAATCGCCAGTTTATATTCCATTAAAGTTGAACCATTAGATTTATACTTTATCCATTTCCTTGATATTCAGCCTAATATCTCTAGATAGCTCATTTTTAAAGGGATCTGGTAGATTATATTTTGAACTTAACAAAATTAATTGATATTATTTTATTTTGAGAGTAACTGACGAATGATATTATGTTTACGACATATACGTCGAGACTTATCATTATACATGACATTATGTGCCATATATATGTAGCTAGCTATTTCAATTAAAGTATATAACAAACACATGTTGTCGCCTATTAGGAAATCCTTCGAATTTCTTTTTAAGTCATCAAGCTTCTTTCTAGCTTTATTTAAAACTCTAATTTGAGCTTCCAAATTCTCAATTAGTTTGGAGGATTTCCATGAAACAGTTGCACTCTCAGTAGTAAAACATATTTATTAGTAGATTTTGAATCTTTGTATTAGATATCCAATTGTAACATCGTACACCTTTAAAGTTTAACAAGTAATTCCCTATAATGATGTTTATATTTCAAATATCCTTCAAATATCCCAAAATTTTATTTATCACCCCATACAATTTTGGGGTGCATCTGAACTTTAGTTAAGAAAATAGTGCAAACAACCTACCCCGATAATATTGGGTAAGATTGGTCTTAGCAACATAATATTTATCTATTGTTTTCAAATTCGATTATATTATTGATAGTCTATCTATTGATTAAATAATTTTATCTCACGTTTAGTCAAATGGCTAAAAATGTCAATGTCACATGAAAGCTCATGCAATTTTATATTCAAAGATGTCAATCCACAATATGAAAAGTCACTTTTTTTCATTTTAAAGAAATTGCAATCTCAATTTGTATCTTGATCCACCCAACTTTAATTGGGTCATTCAAAATTGATCACATTCATCGCATAGATCAAAATTCAATTTCCACGTTGCACCATTTTGGTTCGGACATATTGACTCCCTTCTGGAGAGACATTCACAAACGATGATCTAAAATGTACGACGAATTGGTGAATCTGATCAAATAAGAGATCTACGAACAGGAAATTATGAAGCCAGAGAATACAGATTCTCCTACATAGTTTTCAAATTGTTGGTGTTTGCCATTATAGTTCTCTGATGCCAAGTTTGGATTTGGGATTTTAGAGATGATTTCAGATTTAGGTTTAGAAATGATTTTTTGTTAATTTTTAGACAACAATGAATCCGAGGTTGTGCTTTCATATTTACATGTAGAGGTAATACAATCAATTACACCTAACAGAGCATTACACAAAGACCCCCAAGTTGAGCCCCGTTTGACCATCATTGTTTGGATTTGAATTTTGAATATTAATTTTTTGAAAATTGTATGATTAAAAAGTAGGAAAAAATTTAGAGTTTACGTATAAAATATTTTATTATGTAAATGTGTGGTTGAAAATAAGTACGTAGAAAAAAGAGTTTAAAATAACCGTTGTCGAACATGCACTGAATAAAACAACTTCGAGAAGGAAAATAATAGTTCTTTGTTCAGTGGACTACAGAATTTAATTCACTGGTTCAACATCTAATACTATAGTGAGTCACATTTTCACAAAGCAAAGAAGAGAAGAAGATGAACTCCCAAAAATGTTGTACGCAATCAGGGAGAGAAAAAAAGATGAAGTTAGAGAGGCCAAAATTGAGCAACTAATCTGCACCTATGACAAACGCGTTCTATAATACATTTAGTTAGGTTCCCAGGTCGTGAAGCCACGTCTATAACTTGTTATCCTGCCGTAACCTCCAAAGTCGCATTCTTCAAGTAGTAACTTTTAATCGTGTTTCAAACCCAGGATTAGGATTGGGCCTGGACATCTACGTAGTACATTGGGTACTTCAACCTCAGCCTCGGACTTGAACATTTTCTACCTTTGTCATCACAACCCAACAATATAGTCAAGTATAAATTATTTAAAAACTAAATATATCAATTTACGTATTTAAAGATTTCGTGTAGTACATTTTAAACTTGTAACGTGCCTTAAAATTTTGAGGTTGTGTTATATTTATACATTAAGAATAATTTTCGCTTAAATATTTGTCTAATAATGATTTATCTGTTCAATATGCAATTCAGTGAGTCGAAGTTAATGATAGATTTGAGTTTTAAAAAACCATGCTTGTAATGATAGGGCCTGGAGCCGGGCGTGAAGTGTTGCAGGTGAGGTCCTCACTTTAGGTTCAAACTCGAAGGGATCAAAATTCTGAACTTTTCCCCTTTTTGCCTCAGATGTAATTGTTACAATAGTCTATATAATTTTTTTTTTTTTAAATCGAGTTTATTAGTAATGCAGTCTCTAACGAATTTTGCAGTCTCTAACGAATTCACCCCAATGTTTAAAAGCGAACTTTTTAATTCTCTAACTTGACTTCATTTGCATATTTAATTTTTTTACATTATCTAGTCAACTTCTCCTTATTTTCATTACGTTTAGAAAGGTAAAGTTGACAAAATATTAAAACAAAACACTTAACTCAATCATTTTAAACCTAAATATTTCCTTCGTTTTCAATTTCAAAATCTAGAAAAAGAATTGCTAAATTCATTTTTACGCACAAAGTTCATCAAAAATCAAAATATAGTTGACTGCAAAGTCATTTGCAAAAAAAAAAAAAAAATTGTATGACACTTTCGAAGAAGTATGGTGAGTATCTCAATTTTTTAGCTTAACTTGAATATAATTGTATTTTTTTACTTATTTATCAGGAATGAAATCATTACATTTTGTTTGGGTTAATTTCACAAATGGTCACTGAAGTTACAGCAAAATAACAAAATGGTCACTGAAGTTCCAAACTTGCATTAACGGTCACTCAACTTTCAGCTACTTTAAAAAATGGTCACTGAGGTAAGTATG